CTCATTTAAAGTTGTGTAACTCTATCTCCCTCCTTTCAAGTATAAATATCCATTCATGGGAGGATGAATTTGCACTATTTCTCTTCTTCAATCTTCTCGTAAGTCTTGCCCCTTTTTATTCTTCATTTCTTCTCACAAGAGAAACATTCCAATATTTGAATAGACAATACTCCTTTCAAGCTTCAGTGTTTCTCTTTGTAGAGAATGAGTTGCTCTTGTCCCCTTTTCTTCTCTATTTCTTCTCACAGGAGAAACATTCAACTGTCTTGAATATGTGATATCACCTTTCAAGCTCCAGTACCCCTCTCTATAGAGAATGAGTTGCTTTTGCCTCATTTCTTCTCTATTTTTTTCTCACAAGAGAGACACTCCACTGTCTTGAATAAGCGACATCCTCTTTCTAGCTCCAATGCTCCTCTCTATAGATAACGAGTTATTGTGAGTAATTTGATAACCCTGATGAGTAATCATTATCCAATACCCATGACAAAAAAAGATCGATTGCCTCCAAAACAAAATGAAGGTCTGATGAGACATTACAAGGCAAGAATGGTTGATGGCGTGATGTCTACAGTTACTAGCGATTCTTTAATCTTTATCTTGAAAGAAAGTTGATTGACTCCATTTTGAGAAACTTTTCATTGCATTTTGAAGCTTCAAATTTTCTCCCAATAGGAAATAATCATTTCAGCGCTGGATAAATGATGCTGATGAAAGTACTTAAATTCATTGAGTTTTATCTTCAGCTCATTACATTAATCTTTAAATAATAAAGATCGTATGTTAGAATTTGATAAATAATTTTGAAATTTATTATGTTGACATCATGTAAATCCATTAACATTGTACATGGCTTTGAGATATTTATATGAGCTTGATTGATGTTGATTTCAATTTATTTGAAGTAATGAATACTTCATCTTTATGTTAGAATAATTCTGATTTGTGAACTTACCCCTAAAAAAAATTAAGTCTTTTATGCATCTTTGAGATATTCTTTAAGATATTGTAGCTAGTTAGAGCAACATAATCAAAAAAATTTATTCCCTATGAAATGTGTCTTTGAGGCGTTTAGCCTTCTAAGATTTTTATGTATGTATAACTTTGAAGCTTTTAGTCTTCTAAGATTTTCAGTTTAGCTGTACCTTCTGAGGTTTATGCCTTCTGAAATTTTAAGATAATTTTATACATTATGAGACTTATACCTTTTGAAGTTTTAGGTGTACATATATATTTTAAGATTTGCATTCCAAGGTTTTGCTTACATGTATTCCTTTTGAGACCTTTGTTTTTCATGTTTTTAGATAATCCTGAATATTTTGAGGCTTTTACCTTCCTAGATTTTTTGTACATGTACCTTTTGAGATTTTTAATCTTCTTAAATTTTTTATGTACATGTACCTTTTGAGCTGTATGTATTTTGAGATTTATGAATAATCATATACGTTATGAAGCTCAGGCCTTCTCAGGTTTTAGGTGTACATATATCTTCTGAGATTTTGCATACATGTGTTTCTTCTAGAGACTTTTGCTTTTAAATATTTTGGATAATCCTGAACCTTCTCAGGCTTTTACCTTCTAAAATTTTTATAAGAGTGGAGACTACGTCAACTATTTTCTCTCATGGAATTTTTCTAGTAAAAAGCTTGTCAATTACTAGCTTCCGATCAAGGTCACCTCATGGGTGTGCCTTCCCTGGGTTGAAATTAGAGACTCTGTTGATTATTTTCCCTCATGGGGTCTTTCCAGTGAGGATCATATCCACTATTAGCTTCCCTTTAAGGTTCCCTCATGGGTGTTCCTTAATAAGGCTATTCTTCAAAGCGTTACTCGATTGAATTAACTCATATAAAAGATATTGGGAGAAATTCACCAAAAATGTTTAACCTATATGAGACTATTTGTCAGACTGTTACTCGATAATGTTAACCTGTGTAGAAAAAATTCAAAGAAAATTCATCAAGGATGTTTAACTTATCTAAGATTATTTATCAGAGTGTTACTCAATAATATTAAACTATGTGGAAGAGATAAGAAGAAATCCAACATGATGTTTGAGCTATATGAGATTATTTAACAGAGTTTTGCTCGATGACTTTAACATGTATAGAAGATGTTGATTCGAACCCTCTAAGATCAATTATACATTAATTGGGAGGGGCCGAATACCACGTGTATCTCAAATCAAAGATGAATATTGATTTATTTTTATACCATTGTTATCTTTCATGGTTGAGACTATGACCTTCTTGATGAGTAGAATTTTAGTTGGGGACTGTGTAGAGTTTGAGATTCACTCGAAGTCTTCCCATGTTAGTTGGAAACTTTATGAAAGGTGGATGATATAAAGACTATTATGAAAGCACAAAATATTAGAGGGACTTGTTCGACCACATCATGTTGTAGATTTCAATATAAATCTCTTTGAGGTTGCAACCAAAGTTGCCCCCTAGCCCAAATCTGTTTTTCACAAAATTGACGTGACAATGTTTGATAATTTAGATACAAAACAATATATGTTAGCTATTGCAGTGAGGTTTCCCTCAACATTGAAGGACTTCTTTTGGACCTAATAATGATTTATGATAAAGGGACTACCTCGCTACAATCATAATAGGACATTGAAGTTAACGACTCTTCAAGATTATAGCAAAAGCTGCCCCCCCCCCCCCCCCCCCCCCCCCCCCCCACACACCAAGAATCGTTTCTCACAGATGCAGTCAAACTATTACATGCTAGAAATTTGAGTCGATAGATTGTGTTTTACATCTCCGCATTATCCAAAAGTTCAGTACGTACAGATAAAAGTAATAAGATCATAAATTTATTACTTGGAAAACCTGAAAAGGGAAATAAAACTATGTGGTCTGGCCAAGTTGAAAAATTCACTTAGTAAGTGATATAAGAATCATCTTTTCTTCACCGTTGAAGAAGAGGAGAATTATTTGAAAACAAACAACTAATTTTTTCTGATGGAAATTACTGAAACTAAGTATCCACATAAAGATTGTAAATACATAACAATAAGGCTTGATTTCCCCAATGGGAATTATAGAAAGTAGTTGTCCACAAGCAGATAGCTAATATCCAACAACATGATTAAATCTTGTCAGTATTCTAGAGATAGTGGCGGTTTTTTATGTTGACCATTGGTGGCAATGGTAATTGTTGGCGATAATAACTAGGGGTGGTCGTCGGCGGCGATGGCTAAAAAATGCAAGAAAGCTCTCTCTAGTTCTCTCTATTATTCCTCCCCCTCGTGTGAAGAATAGGGCTCCATTTATAAGTTTTTTGGGATTAGCATTTTGGTAATTTGAACCTGAATCTAAAACACTCCATCGAATGGTCCATATTGATTCCCTTGATCAAGAAACATTTATTCAATATTTAAATGTCATAATGATGTCATAATATAGTGATTTAGGCTCATTGGATCCGTCTCGTCAAGCCGCTTGATTCAACTATAAAAATGTCTAATTTAGAGATCATTTGGTCATCCAAATAATATTTAAAGTTTCCAATTATGCTTCAAATATTTGATTTTGGCTCCTTTAAGCTCGAATTATATCACTTTTGGCATCGTTGGGTTCGTCTCATTGAGATGTTCAGATCAACTATAAATTTGCTGAAATTGGAGTTCATATGATCATGAATTTAATTATAGCAAATTCTAATTCAATTTTTTTCTTGGAGATTTGTGCTGAACATGCCGATTTTTTATAGATATATCAAGTATAATTTTAGTAGTAATAGATCTAATAGTGGATTGTGACTTTGGATAATCAAGTCATTAAAAAAAGTACACGTTTTAGATACTTCAAAGTGATGGTGAAATAGATGAGGATATTATTAATAAAATTTAAGTTGGATGGTTAGAGTGGAGGAATGCATCGGGCTTGTTGTGCGGTAGAAAAGTACCCCTCAAACTTAAGAGAAAATTCCATAAGATTGTAGTGAGACCTCCAATATTTTATGGTGCAAAATATTGCCATTAAAAGAGAAGCAAAAAGTTAAGTGTTTCAAAAATAAGGATGCTTAGGTGGATGAATGGCTTTATTCTTATAAACAGAATGTGAAACGAGTATATACATGAATAGGTTGGAGTAGCTCTAATGGCCGATAAGATTAGAGAGAGTCGCCTTAGATGATTTAGTCACATAAAATATCGGTCTTCTAACAACCCAGTTAGAAGAGTAGATGTATTAGCTTTTGAATATGTTAAGAAAGATAGAGGTATACCTAAAAATCTTGGTTAGAAAAGATTAGAAATGACATTATTTATTAGATTTTAAATGAGAATTTGATTCTTAACATGATACAGTAGAGAAAAAGGATTCATTTACTCAACCTCATAGTGGGATAAAGGCTTGATATTATTGTTGTTGTTGTTGTTGGATGGACATAAATTGGCTTCAATTTTTTTTTTTTAAATTATTAATCAATTAATCTATAGTAAAATACTATAACTATATGGTAGGTTGCTCTAGCTCAAGTAAATTCCAAAAATTAATTCACTTACGTTTTTTACTATTATAATTTACTTTTTTAAAATCCTTCGATATTTTCAGTTGTGCCCTAACATTAAAACTGGAGAAGATTTCGTACATAGATATCCCACTCACAGTTTTGTATATGGATATGCCACCCAACCCCTACGTACTATATATTATGTTAGCCAATAGTTTCTGATTTATATCTCAAACAAAGCCACTCATGAATAAATAAGTATTCCTAGTTTCATACAAAATGCCCAAATCTAACAAAAGCAATGTTCAGTTCTAGTTTTTCATGTCCAGTACAATATAATGTTTTGTTGTAATGAATTTAAGTTACCAAATGCGACTTTTGAAAATTTCAAAAAAAAAAAAAGCGAATTTTGAATAACTTATCACCACTTCAAAGGCTAATCGTCAAAATGATACAATGATGCTATAAGTTACTCGCAGCCATATTTCACTAACTTCGTTAAGCAAGTAGACCATAAAAGACAGATTCCATACCCTAGGTACCGATGTCAGGTCCAGCCCATATTGTTCAATTGGATTGTCATAGCCACGTATTCTTTTTCCCCACAAAACTACAAGGATCATAGCAGCTATATAGAGACCCACAATGCAGGTAAATTCAGCAATCCTATTTGGATTATGTGTTGTCCAACTTTGTACAAGTGTTGGCAGCAAAGGTATTACCACAGGAGACCAAAGCACAAGCACCATGCAAACAAATCCAACAACCCTGGTAATGAAACAAAAATTGAGGATTACTAAAGAAAGATGCAAAAAGCATGCCCATTTAATACATAGTTTAGAGAGAATAATATAAAAAAGACAGTTGTGACAATTTTGGAAGTTTACTTCAAGTAGTTAAGGCTATCATGACTAAGTTTAGTAATCAACTATAAATTAGCAAAACGAACAGAAAGTTTCAGGTTAAACAGTAAGCTGGCCTTTTAACTTAGAATGAAATTGATTACAAGTCAGCAGTCAGTAAGGATCATCACAAGTTGATCAGGCGAGTGAAAAAAGGCTAAAAAACCACAAGATTTCATGAATTCAGCCAAGCAAAGAATTAATGGTTATTATACTGACAGAGCGCAGTTTTGGAGTTTGTCAGGGTTGTAAGGTTGCTTCAATTTATAGTTTGTTTTGAGGAAGCAGTGTGTGGTTCAAAATGTGTCCATCAATCAATATCCCATCATATAGTATTTTTCTTCAAGGACTAATAATTCTTAGAACAATCTCAATCAAGCATGTTATAAATCTACATTTGGAATGGTAATCACAAGTCACAACTTGAACCCAGTAAAATATCCCATTACAGTGGCGGAAATCAAGCCAACGAATTGCCCTCATTTCAAACTGGAATTGATGGCTAGGACAGCTGGAACTGCAGAATGCAATTACCATCTAATTTAAGAGGATTCAGATTTTTTTCTATAAAGAAATAAATCTGTTAAATATTAGATGCCATTTATGGAAAGTAGATGCACTTCAATTTTAGAAGCATATAAAAAATTTGATGTTGACTTGATAGTACAGTTGCATTTAATTCATATCAAGTTGTGATGGCGTTGATTGTGGAATTAACAAGCACATGCATGTTGATGACATATAGAAGAAAGTTAATAGTGTGATTTCGAATGCAGTGTGTAGTATTCATCAGCTCCTTAAGTTAGACCAAGTTTGACATAAAGAATGACTAAGAGACCTCAATGAATATCAATGTGAGGGTATGTTTACTTTCTTTGAATGATAGAATGATATAAACTCAAGTGAATAACCTTGAAATCTCTAAAATATTATCAGGAAATATGAGAATTTTTTTGAAGCAATGAGATTTTATAACTAGTCATTGAAAAAGTCATAGGAACAACTGGTTACATAAAAGTCACCATAGAAAGAAAAATATATATTAGATCACAATTAACATAAAGCAAAGTGAGTAATATCTATCAAAGAGGAGAAAAATACGTACAATTTGTGAAAATCACATAGGAGTAATGAAGAAAAATCTTTTCTCTACTAGTGAAAAGGTGTTGCATTAGAGTATACGAATTATAGAGGCATTAAGTTAATGTGTCATACTTTAAAATTATGGGAGAGAGTTATTGAATATAGGTTACGATGTGATACTAATGTTTCTCAAAATCAATTTGAATTCATGCTGAGTAGATCTACTATGGAAGCTATACATTTATTGAGAGGTTTGATTGAGAAGTATAGAGAGAATAAGGAGGATTTACATATGCTATTTATTGATTTAGAAGCATATGATAAAGTTTCAAGAGAAGTGCTCGGGAGAGTTTAAGAAAAGAAGGGGTTTAATAATGCTTTTATTCAAGACATTAAGGATATGATGCAAGAGTTGTCACTTGGATTCAAATACAAGGTGGTTTGACTATATTTTCTTATTTTAGTTGGATTAAATCAAGGATCAACTTTAAGCCCATATCTTTTTGCTCTAATCATGGATGTTTTTTCTAAACATTTGCAAGAGGATGCACCCTAGTGTATGCTTTTTGCTAACGATATTCTTCTTATTGATAAGACTAGAGAGGCAGTTGAAATAAACTTGAACTATCGAGGTCAACCTTAGAGTCTAAAGGTTTTTGTTTGGGTATATCTAAAACCAAATACATGGAGTGCAATTTAAGTAGTAATAGATCTAGTTTGAGGACAATGACTTTGGGCGATCAAGTCATTAATAAGAGTACGTGTTTTAGATATCTCGAGTCAATTGTTCAAAGTGATGGTGAAATAGATGTGAATATTATTAGTAGAATTCAAGTTAGATGGTTGAAGTGGAAGAATGCATCGACCCTGTTGGGTGCTAAAAAAGTACCCCTCAAACTTAAGGGAAAATTCTATAAGATGGTGGTGAGACCTGCAATGCTTTGTGGTGCAAACTGTTGGATTAAAAGACAAGCAGAAAATTAAGTTGAGTGTTGCAGAGATGAGGATGCTCAGGTGGATGAGTGGCTTCACTTTTAGAGATAGAATGTGAAATGAGTATATACATGAAAAGGTTAGAGTAGCTCTAGTGGCAGATAAGATTAGAGAGTCGCATTAGATAGTTTGGTCACATAAAACGTCAGCCTTCTGATGACCCGATTTGGAGGGTATATTAGATTTGGCCTATGCTTAGAAAAGCAGAGGCCAATGTTTGAAATTGCGTATTCGGGTATTGAGGCGTTTTTCATTCGTGAGGCGAGGCGTAAGCCTCAAGGCGTTTTGAGGCGTAAGCCTCAAAATCAAAAGATTGCGTAAATATAAAATGATAAATTTTTTATATACTAACGAGTGAATAATATAAGAAAGACATAAAAAAGCATAAGATATGAAGTAAAATCAAAATATCCCAATAATAAGACAACATGAAATATAGTTCAACTCAAAATTCTATCTTTCTCAAATCCCAGTATTCTTTTCATTAACATATAATTCTAATTTCCAAAAATAAATAGCAATGACATATCACATAAGAACTCATTAGTCATCAGCATTGTCATCACTAAGGGGTTCTTCATTTGAATCATCATTATGATGAACTGCTCTCTCCCCTTCCTCTCATCTTTTTATTAACGTGCCCCCCCCCCCCTCCTCCTCCTCTCCTATAGAGTCCAATGTCAGGCATTTACTTCAAGATTTATGTAAGTTTTAATATGTATAGCGTGAGGTGTAAGCCTCATGCCAGTAAGGCGAGGAGGGACTCAACCAAGTTAAGGCGCAAGCCTCATAAAAAAAACTCAAGGCGTAAGCATCGAGGCGTTTTTTACTGGAATTGCGCAAGGCGAGCCTCATATTGCGCAACTTTAAACCATGGCAGAGGCCTAAAAGGATTTGGCTATAAAATATTAGAAATGACTTTTTTATTAAAATTAAATGAAAATTTGACTCTTAACAAAATACAATAAAGAAAAAAAATTATGTAGCCGACCCCAAGTAGTCGGATAAAGGCTTGATATTATTGTTATAGTGAAAATGTTGTAGTGAATAGTAGGATTGACATTAGTGTGTAATGGATCATCATGGAAGTGAACAACATCAGTGTGATATGTAGTATGTCTCCGTGGTTGATCTGAAGTGTTATAATTATCAATAGTTATAACTATCAATAGCCCCACTAGAACCCCATTAGTTCTCACTCTCATTCTCTCTAAATGATTAAGTCTATCACAAAGTGATTGATTCTCATAGAACATTAACTATAAATGCTCAACCAAAATATGAAGGAGATCACAAGCGGCCTATCATCCTACCTTGATACATAGCACAAGCTCAATAATCAAGTCTACAACATGTCTATGATGCTAATCTAATTTAAGTCAACCTAAAAGAATGACTAAAACCCCTAAATCACCATGATGGGTGTATTTTTTTAGTGGGATGATGGAATGATATAAAACACTTGGACGACCTTTGAATCTCTAGCTTTGGAAAGGAAATATGAATTTTAGGTTAAGGTTTGTTGAAATTAGATTTTATTTTGAAAGAGAAAAAATTAACATCAACAATAGAATGAATAACTAATTTAAAAAATATAAAACTTAGCATGCATCACAAAGAACAACAATGAATAAGGATAAATTAGATTATAATTTGATTCCGAGAAAGATTAATATCATGTTAGACCGGTCCATGCTGGACCGGTCCAGCTGGCCATAGGCAAAGGGCCGGCTCAACTTTACATGAGGCGGACCAAGCAGGTCTGCATCTTGGGTATTGCCGCCGAAGGCAATTGTGGGGCCCACTAGTGTATCCAATTAGGAAGGAGAGGGGGTAGGGCTGTAGAGGGAATTGGCTTGTGTTGTTTAATTGTATGCTTTAAGTAGGAAGGGAAATTAGTTAGGGTTATCTGATAATTGTGACAGATTTTGTTGTTCTTAGTACTTGGCGTCTTGGGCTCTAGCGGCGTCAAGGGATTGGGAGAGATAGATCCTCCTCTCGAATTGAGGATCGACTATATCTTGGAATTTTCCTTATGTTATATTTTATTATTGCAATAAAATCGTTGTTTTCTATTTTTTCCTCGGAGTTTGGTGGATATGTCTTGCTTTTTTTCAAGAATGATAGGTTTTCACTTGAGATCTTCAAGTGTTTCCTATCAAATTGGTATCAGAGCAGATTTTTGGATTATTTTTGAGCTGTTTTTGTGAATTCTGGAGGCTGAATTTTGTCTGAAGAGGTGTTGTTTTGCAGCTTTTGGAGTCGAGATCCAGATTTTTTAGTCCAACAAAAATCCGGGTATCGATGACGGCCGAGAAAGTGGATGCGTTGGAAGAACGCCATGAGGGGGAGATAGACAAATAAAAGCAACGGTGGAGGATAGAATATCCTCCATGGAATGCAAAGTTTCAAATCTTCATGAGATGTTGAAGAAGATACTGGACAATCAAAATCAAACAGCGACATCGGAGGCAAGAGGTTCGATAGGGAGAAATACAAATTCTGAAATTCGTGGAAGTGAAAATGAGGTGGAGATCATGGAGGAGAGAGATGGAAGGTATGGAGAGAGGCGTGATTATGGGGGGCATGAACCAAGGGGTGCTGATTGGGAAAGAAAAAAGGAGGATTATGGTAGGAGGGTGATGCTTTTGAAGAAAGGGGAGAAAGTG